TTGAACTTGCAGTACGATTTCCCCATCAAAATGTCTTTCAATAAAATGGATTGACATCGGAAAATCGAGGCAGTTTAGCCAGGAGTTTTGAACCGAGCCATCGTAGCCGGTGGTTGTAATTCGGCAGTTTTAGGCCGAGAGTTTATCAAGCGTTTTTTTAATCGGGCAAAGAGCCTGTTTTTTTTAAGTTCGGCAGTTAGCCGTGAATATAAAGAAAAAGAAGAATCAATACTCTGTGGTGGTAATTAGAGGAAAGTTTAAGAAATATTTAAAGAAATTGAGATTTATATATACGAAAATTAAAAGTTCTTTCTCCTAAAATTGTGAGAAGCAAGAATTCCTTCGAAGATTCATCAAATTGGATAAAAGCAAAAAAAAACATACCACTTGTGAGTATTTCATAGCATCTCACCTTAGACACACAGTATACCAACACATACATCCAGCTCAGAGTTCGAGTTTCACAAACATAAACAGAATTAGATAAAGTTGTATTAGGGTTTCTTTTTTGGGGGAAAATATATAATTGTATAAATTTTATCTTTGTGTTTCAATTAATTTAAATACATCTGAAAATATCCTCTCCTTCCTTTTGTAAGAATAAGGTTCTCAACCTATTGGTTGAAATAATAGCCAATTAGAGGGGGAATCCACTACCTATTACAATTTTGTCCGAAGGACACGTTAGTTAAAGTTCACAACAATACTTTTGAATTCTAGAGATTAAATATCATAGAATTCTCCAAATTCTACTTTAACAAACTGGTGACAGCGGTGGGATTCTTTCTCTATATTCTTTTCTAGAAAGGAGAGAAAATTTCCTTTTTAATTTCATTTTTGAGTAAAGAAAATACATATGGTATACACTATACACACCCATACAAAATTATTGTACTTTGTAAAATTATATGGATACATTGATTTCATGTTTCAAAATACTTTGTCTATCTGTTTCTTCACAGGAAATATATAAATATCAAAAGTGCGGGTAGTAGATTTTTTTTAAGCTTATTTACGATAAGCTTCAGGGGAACAGTAACCATCCTTGCGTCGGCAAGCTCTGGTTTCTCTAATAAACCGCGACCTATTCCTTGACTTAACCTTGCCGGAAGTGGGTAGGCACTTGGGCAAGTGAGAGGATTAAAAAAAAATACATGTATAAATTACAAAAATAATAATCACGGGTTAGCTTACGGGAATAAAATACAAATTTTAAATATCTGCCTTAAATTCAACCCTATAGTTTGGAGTATTTTAACAGAGAATAGAATTTTGGATCGGATAGCATAGGAATAGAATTAAAAAAATATATAGTCCAACAGAATAGATAGACTAAAAAGAGTTTTATTTTTCGAGAATAATATAGACATACATATAAAAGGAAAGGCAGGATAATTTAAAAAAAGAGAGGTTTTAGAATTATACCGTGTTGTTAGAAGAGTTTTCTTGTTGAGATAGCAAATTTCATAAAAATTGAAGTTATAGTGGGATTAATGAACTCGATGTAAAACAAATACAGAGATTAGATCAAATTTCGCTTAGGCAGCAAGGCCAAAAGACGAGCGTTTAGACATATGTAGGAAAGGTCAGGATCATACTATATTCATTTTTTTAAAAATCTCTTCTCTTAATAAAAAGAAAAAAAAAGGGGACAAATTATATTCTTACTTAGGGAATTTCACATTTAAACTAGTTAACGAAAACATCTCCAAATAAAAAGAACTATATTTAGAAAAAAGAGTAAGCCATGGATAACGAAGGTTAAGACCCCCCTCCAGGAAACGAGAGACAAGTTGCACCTGAACAGAGAGGAGCTGGAGCTTTAAACGCGTCAACTTTAGGCGAACTATTTAGAAATAGAACAGATTTAGGTTATGCTGCAAACCCAACAAATTTAAGGGACATGATGGGGGAAGAACCAGCAGACGGAACACTTTTAGTCCAACAGGCCATAGCACACTCATTGACAATACAACAAGCAGTGAATTGCGTGCCCTACTTTACAGGACAAAACATGCGCGTTCGGGATTTTATTCAAGATGTAGCATTCGCGTCTACCCACTTACCCCTAGCTTGTCAACCCTCTTTCATAACAGGAGTCTTAAGTAAATTAAAGGGCAGTGCAAGGGAATGCACTATTAATAAACAGTTCGACACCATACCGCAGCTAATGGACTTACTAAAAGAAAGATTTGCCCCTGAATTACCTTTCCAACATTATTTCGTAGAAATTACAAAACTACGCATGTTTAGAGAGGAAGATATACATGGATTATATGACAGACTCCAAGGATTGGTGAGTGGAGCAAGGGCGGCAGCGCAGTCCAAATATGCAAATGTTGCTGACGCATCAATGGTGATAGTAGAAGACGTAGCTCGACAACAATTTATTAGAGCACTTCCGGACGAAATTACAAACGTGATAGAAGCCAGACGCCCTCAAAGTTTAGAACAAGCTTTCCTCTTCGCAAAACAAACTCAAGAAGAAAGAGGTATAACCAGTAGACAAGGACATTCCTCATACTATACAAAACACAATTATGATAATAAACAAACGAATAACTACAATAGACAGGAACAATCAAGAGAAACCGGGTGGGGGTCTAGAAATCTAAGGAACCGAGAACTATTTGATGGCAGGAATCACACTCAGAACGTATATGGAAATTCCAACTACCGAGAAAACCGACAGAATGCAACAAATTACACGCAAGGAAGTTGGAGGGAACGACAATCTGGAAATAATAGAAATTTCGGGAACAATCAGTATAACCAATGTGGATACAGATCAGGACAAGCGAATGGCAGAACCGATAATTTAAACTGGCAAGAGGTTCGTCATACGGACGCACCGATGAACCCTCACAACTCAATGCGTCCAGGAATTTTACGACATCAGGAGAACACAAACTTTACAAATTAAACAAACCATTAAAAGAGTCACCTGTAACGAGATTAAAAGGGAATCATTTATATAATGGGGAAGCAAATTTTTTTATAGATATAGGAGCCGATATCAACGTAATTAAACAAACCGCATTGAAAGGAAGTGCACCTGTCACGACTACAGATACATCCCATATAACAGGGATTACCACAGACAAAGTATACACGTTGGGAACACTTGAAATAGAAATTATGGATAAAAAGCATATTTTTCATGTGGTTGAAGATAGTTTCCATATAGAAGCCCAAGGAATTTTAGGAAGACCGTTTTTAAGAGAGGAAAGATCTAGTGTAAATTTCTTTTATAACAGCTTGATAACAGCATCCAAACCTACTGAACCTATACCGTTTATTGACCTCGAATCTACTCAAGCTAATGAAGACTTAAAAAAAGAAGTGAAACCCGTACCTAGGACACCCTGCCCCAAGCCAATAAAAACAGTACCAGAATCAAAAAGGGAAATAAAATTAAAACCAAAAATTTTACGTATTAAAGCCAGAAGTAGACAAATCGTGGAAATTCCAGTCGAAAAAACATATTTGAAGGAAGGGTATTTACAAAAGATAGAAACACAAAAAGGATTATTTTTGGGAGAATCCTTAGTAACTCAAAAACAAGGAAAATGTAAAATAATGGCCATAAATACCACAGAAAGAGACATCACCGTATCTATTTCCCCACAAGAACTATTGCCTTTTGAAATAGCAAACGAAACGGAATCAGAAATTACACATAACGCAAAGATTGCCGAAAGTAGGACTAAAACAATCTTAGATACAATAAAATTAGACTATTTAAATCCCGAGGAACATAATTATGTAAGAAAATGGATAAAAATGGGTCAGGACAGATTTTATTTACCAGGTGACAAGCTACCAGTTACCCCATTAGTAAAACATTATATCCCCACTTCAGACGAGAACCCCGTCAAACGTAAGCAGTATAGGCAACCTCCCGAGTACGAAGAAGCAGGAAAAAAGTTAATCAATAAAATGGAAGAAAACGACTTAATAAAACATTCCAAATCCAACTATAATTCACCGGTACTTATAGTACCTAAAAAGGCCGACGCAGATGGTAATAAAAAATGGAGATTAGTAATTGATTTCAGAGCCCTTAACGAAAAGATGGTGGGAGAAAGCTACCCCATACCTTTGATCAATCATATTTTAGAGAGGTTAGGAGGAGCACAATATTTTTCAGTTTTCGATTTAGCGATGGGTTACCATCAAATAGGGACAGCAGAAGAGGACCAACATAAAACAGCATTTTCCTGCAGTAGAGGGCATTATCAATATAAAAGAATGCCGATGGGAATAAAAAACGCTGCTTCTACATTTCAAAGACTCATGGACAATGTTCTATCAGGATTACAAGGAGCCGAGTTATTTGTTTACCTAGATGATATAATTGTATTTTCTAACACTCTCGAAGAACATGACAAAACAATAACTCGATTATTTGAACGACTTAGAAAAGCCAAATTAGCATTACAACCCGAAAAATGCGAATTTTCACGAAAGGAAGTGGCCTATTTAGGACACATTGTAAGTGCAGAGGGAGTCAAAGCAGACCCTAAGAAAATAGAGGCTATACAGGCTTTTCCCACCCCACGAAAACCGAAAGCAGTCAAAGGATTTTTGGGTATAACTGGTTATTATAGAAGATTCATAAAAGATTACGCTAAAATCGCAAAACCGCTATATAGTCTATTAAAAAAAGAAAAAATATTCAAATGGGACACTGAAGAAAAACGAAGTTTCAAAAAACTTAAAAAGGCCTTGTGAGAAAACCCCATTTTGTTGCACCCAGATTTTAAAAACATATTTAGAGTTACTACAGATGCCTCAGAACATGCTGTCAGTGCTGTATCGATTTTTCAAAAACTCTTATTGGCGCAGAAGTAAATTATGATCCCACGGAAAAAGAGTGTCTAGCAGTGATACAAGCCTTACAACATTTCAGACCATTTTTATACGGTACGAAATTTATATTATCATGCGATCATGAACCTTTAAAAATTATTAACAACGCGAACAAACCAACCACAAGAATGACAAAATGGTTATTAAGATTGCAAGACTATCAATACGAGTTTGTATGTACACCCGGAAAAATAAACCGTTGGTTACCAGCATTATCGGAAAATCCCGTAGGAAAAGTAGAAAGTGAAACAGAAGAGAATGAAACTACAGATACAGATTCTAGTGAAAGGCTGACTCCAGAAAATACAGAAGACGAAGAAGAAAAACCGAAAATAAAGGAAAACAGAACATTCCCTATAAGTAGCGCCGCAAGAAAATACAACGAAAAAGCAAATAAAAAACTAGACCATTTAATCGCTGGAAACAAGAAAAGAATGAAAAATACAGAAGATCAAAGAAAACAATTAAATAATCCTATGAGAAATAGGTCAAAATCAGATTCAACGTTAAAAGGTAATAAGATTGAAAGTCCCATAGAAAAAAGAAAAAAAGGAAGACCCCCCGGAAAAACGAAACCAAAAATGACGGATATAGATATAGATGATCGTCCAATTGCTACAAGACTCAGAAGTCAAATTCCAAAATCTACAGTAACAAATTACGAGGCGGAAAAAATAAATGACAAACAGTGTGAAGAAGTAGAAATTGCATCAAGTTCAGACGAAGAGAGGACAGAATCTCCGGAACTGATTCCTATATTAAGAAAACAATATAGTGTGCTACCCTCATTAGTTGATGGACCATCTACCTCGAGAGATTATTCATCAGAAAGTGACGAGGAACCCATAGAGAGAGAAGAGATAGAAGAAAATAAAATAGTCATACAAGTTGACCCTCCTGTAGATAGCTCCGACAGTGAAGAAGAAGTTTTTCAGGAAGCTGTAGAAACGGAAACTGAAAATCCCGTAAATGAAAATTCAGAAAATGACCAATTAGATACAACAAAAAAGGACACTCTACAACCGGAAGGTGTAAACCAAGATACATTAGAAGGTATATTGGAATCCATAAGAAGATTCGACAATTCAATGGCAGAACATCAATCGTATTTCTGGGATAACAAAATGTTCGAAAAAGAGACGGAAATTGAAAACTCACAAAAAATTCTCACTACAGAAGACAAACTGGACGAAGAACCAAAGGACATCGAAGAGATCATGGAAGAATTACGAGATATAGCACAAAATCTCCCAAAACTTAATACTGAAAAACAAACCGGGGAAGAACAATTAAGGAAAGAAAAAAAAAGAAAATCCGTAACCTTCGACACCCCTTTACGGCTCGAATTACCTAAAGCTCGATCAACACCTTACTTAAAAGAAACCATTACAGGAGAATCAGACACTGAAGAAGAAGTAGAAAACAAAAAAAAACGTTTAATTCCAAGAAGATTAACGGAGACAGAAATAAATAAAACAACAGAGAAAACCCCACCCCATATGAAATTAGGGTTATGATTCAACATGCCGTACGTTGAAGAAAATTATCCAAAAATGAAAAATTCTTTGGATTCGTCCACAGAAAGAACGTTAAATAGATTAGAGGTGTTACAATATAGTCAAGAATCGATCACTGCAACAAGGGATAATTATGTACATTTTATGTCATCAGACTTAGAACCAAATGAATCAACATCCAAATTAATGATCGCTATAGGAGCAATAGACTTGTTAGAAATGAAATCTAAAAAGCCTCAAAAAGGGCAAATATTAGTGACTAATTTTGGAAAAAACAAAGTGTATACTGTAATAGTTTCTAAAAAATATGATGACATAGTAGAAAAAGATGATTTAACAAACGCCCTTAATAATTTGAAAAATACACTTGTTAAAGACGAAATTAAACAAATACGAATACCAAGATTTGTAGAAATATTAGAGGAATCAAATTTCGACTGGGTAGAAGAATTAGTGAAGACCTTTCTGAAACAGGATATTAGGATAGCTATATGTTAAGGAAAAACGCTAATACCCCCAGAAGAAAATAGTGCACAAATCATCGCAAATTATCATGATAGTTTAATTGCAGGACATAAAGGAGTGAATAAAACATATAGAAGAATAAGAGAAAAATTCACATGGCCAGACTTAAGACAAGAAATAACAGAGTACATTAGAAAATGCAGAAGTTGTGCCGAGAAGAAAATAGTACGAACAAAAAATAAGGAACCCATGGTGATAACTGACACACCATTGGACGTATGGGATAAAGTTTCCCTAGACACAGTGGGAAAACTTCCAACTACTACTAACGGGAATTGCCATATTTTAACGATGCAAGACCAACTCAGTAAATACTGCATTTTTGTAGCTATACCCGATATTAATGCCACGACGATAGCAAATGCGATAGCGACGCATTTAATTTCTTTATATGGAGCACCTAAATGCATATTAACAGACAATGGAAGATCTTTCACAAGTAAATTATTAAGAAAACTCGCAAAATTATTCAGAACAGCTCAGGTTATTACCACAGCATATAGGCCTCAAACGAACGGAGAGTTAGAACGCAGCCATGCCGTGCTAGCTGAATTTATTAGACATTACGCAGAAACGTTTGATGACTGGGACAGATTGTTACCCTACGCCATGTTCGCCTATAATACTTCGGTACATGAAGCCACAAAATCCACGCCCTATGAAGTAGTTTTCGGAAAAACAGCTAGAACTCCTAACAATTTTCCCACAGAAAAAGAAATGGATACATATGAAACTTATTTGAGAGAATTAGTAACACGACTCATCGAGATTCGAAGAATAGTAGCCAGGAATCTGATCCAGTCGAAAGAAAAAATTAAAGAAAAATTTGACAACAAATCAAGACCATTAAATATAAAAATAGGAGATTTAGTAGATGTGAAAGATGAGGTAAGAGCAGGAAAATTCACACCTTATTACCATGGACCTTACGAAGTGGTAGGAATTACGGAAAAGAATAATTTGGTATTAAGCGATGCAGAGAAGAAGAGATTTCGTAAACACAAAGATCAGGTCAAAAAGGCATACTCTTGACACAATGACAAAAACGGCTTGAAATTAGATGAAGAAGGCTATGTACACGCATATGCTGATGGAGCTTGTAAAGCAAATGGAAAACCAAACGCTGAAGCCGGAATAGGAATCTGGTTCAACCAAGATCACCCCTTAAATATCAGTGCAAAAGCTTGTAATAGGCAAACTAATAATAGTGCGGAAATAGAAGCCATACAGAAAACTATCGAAATTCTTAAGAAACGTAAATATAGAAAAATTAGAATACATACAGACTCTAAGTTTGTAGTAGATGGGATAAAAGAATGGGTACCAAAATGGGAAAATAATGGCTGGAAGACAAGCCGATAACCTAGAAATACAATTAATTTACGAACCAGGGCATAGTGGTATTTTAGGAAATGAAGAAGCAGATAGATTAGCAAAATTAGCAATAGAAACTAACCCATAAACATACAAAAATAAAAAAAAATTTAAATCTATTGTTCAATTTAATTTACAGAATAAATAAAATGAACAACTACCTAAAAATAGGCATTGTATTGCTAGGATTGGCTGGACAAATAAAAACAAACGATGATGATACTTCTATCAAAATAACACCCATGAATAAAAACACAGGACTTTTTTATGAATTGATGCCAAATTTACAGCGTGTAACAGGGACATGGAGAACAATAATACTATTAGACACTGATACATTCAAAACACACCTACCAAACTTAGAAACGGAATACAAAAAAATGGAACCACTTTGTGAAAAAGCAATGGAAATAAGTTGCGAAGGCTTTCTAGAATATCAAACGTTGAACAAGAAAATTTCAGTTGCCAAATTACTCCAAGAACAATTAATAAACGTCATGACAGAACTAAGACAACAAACTTCAGCGAACCAAATGACTTCGTTCTCAAACAGAAAAAAACGAAACGTACCACTACTAGGATTTATAGGAAAAATCGCAGGACCCATCGTAGGAGTATTAACTTACGACGACGGAGAAAGATATGAACAACTATTCACAGAACTAAACGAAGCCCAAAGGAATATATCACATCTAGTGGGAGAACAAACGCATTTGGTGCGCGCAGAATTGCAGAATTTGTACGACATAGCACAACAACAACATAACAGATCTGAAGAAGAAAGAAAGAAATTATATGAATTAGAAGAAAGTATATTCCGTGTAGGATCCAAAATAGGCACAACTGACTTTATATTACAACTACAAAAAACGGCTCGAAAATGGAACGAACAAATAGAAACCTTTAAACACGGTTTAGAAGAAACTCTGAATGTCATATACAAAGTTATGGAAAGAAAACTACATCCCAAATTATTAAACAACCAACAAATAAAAACAATAGCAACGGAAGCGCACAAGTATTTGGAAAATCAAGAATACCCTATGCACATAGACAACCTAAATGTAGCAACAATGGGCCCAACCAGGAACAGAGCTTATATCACACCTCACACTAAATATATTGCAACTAGTATCGAAGGAAGACATTATTTTTACCTAAAAGAAGAGGAACTAAAAACCTGTCAATCAATTGAAAGAAAATACATATGTTATCCTACACAAGGAGTATATGACATAATTTTAGCCCCCAGTTGCGAGTCAGAGCTATTGAGAGAACCGAACAATAATACCCTGAGGAGTTGTGACATAAGGATCACCAATAATCAACAACCACTATCGGAGCCTATAATAACAACCGGAAGTTGGTTATATTCATTAACAACAGAAGAAACAGCTTACTTAATTTGCCCTAAGCAAAAGGCGAGAACATTCCAACTAAAAGGAATAAGAATAATAAAATTATAGAGTAAATGTAATTTAAAAACCGATACCATAAAATTACCCACGCTACAAATCATAAATAACCCTAAAGAATATATTTATACACCAAAAATAGAATTGAAATTAGAAGAAATATCACCCATTTTAAAAACGGCTAAACCACGGGAAGAAACTAAAACACCTAATGATGTTCGCCCTATTTGGAGAAAAACAGAAACAGATGAGAAATTACAAGATATAGAAAAAGAACTAAAAACACAAAGCTTACACACGCTCAGTAAAAAGAAACAATATCAATACACTAATTTGATAATAGGAATACTAGCAACCATCCTTCTAATCGTAATATTTTACTTAACAATAAAATACTGCACAAAACACAACGTGAAAGTCATATGCTGTAAAAACAAAAAAAGAAAGAACAACGAAGCAGAATCACTACACATATATGCTACACCTTCTCACACAGTACAAAAGAAAATCGACAGCATAAGTATGAGAGACTTACCAAAAAAACAAGAAGAATGTTCACACCCTTTGACCAAGAAACGAGAAATATTACTACTAAGTGAACATGAGAAAGAAGTTGAACCGACAACCAGCAATATGCCACAAACGGAAAAAAGAGAACGAGAAAACCTAAGCCCTATTTTTCAGTCTAAGAAAGCACCAAAAATCAGATATATCGATGTGGCCTAAATTCAAGAATAAGGAGGGAAGACACAAAACTGGATAAAAATATAAATAACTAAAACTACCTATATATACTTCAACTAAAATATGCTTTAATTTGATAATTCACTACTAAGCCTTATATGAATATATACGCACTAATATACATATATATACACATAAAGAAATACTAATAAATTAACAAAATAATAGCTGGTGAAAATACAAACAAAAAAAATGTAACTCCGGTCAACAAATTAACCATCGTCACCAGGGTGAAGCGGCAACAAGGCAGCCATTTTTTTATATATGTGTTTGTTTCCTTTGATATCCAATTCCATCTTCAGAAATTCAAAAATCCTCCTTTTTAGGATGTTACGTTTATATTTAATTTTGAAGGTAAGCGTAGTCAAAAGGTATTTTATACTTCGGAAGTCGTTAGCAAATATTTCACACGAATGCAATATTCGTGCTTTATTTTTATTTATTTGTAGGAATGTTTCTTGCCTCAGCCCTATGGGGACCGTTATGAAATTGTTCTTACTTATTTGACAGAAAAGAGTATTAAAGGTTAAGAGAAAATAAAATATAAAGATATGCAAGAGAATATTAGTTTATTATAATAAGAACTCAAATATAAAATCAAATTAAATTATAAGTATAATAAAGTATTACAACCAAGTATTACTCACAACTTACTTATGTGCTTTCCTCGAAGGAATGTATACGTAGTATGGTTGAATAAATTATGTGTTTAGATATTTTAACAAGGTTTAGAATTGGTTGGAAGTCAATACGGGTACGAGATTTTGGTTATCTTTTTATCGAAAGTAAAAATACTTGAATGCCGATCTTTGACCAGATTTTACATCAGAATCCGAAATAAATTATACCGAGTACAATGGTTCGTATGGACCATGACATATAATTATTAATTTTGACAATTAGGCCCGAATCCGCTTTCGGAATAAATAAACGAATCTATTA